AAATAAATAAATAAATAAATAAATAAATAAATAAATAAATAAATAAATAAATAAAACAAGCTTTTTAAAAAAGAGATGTCGGGGCGCCTGGGTGGCGCAGTCGGTTAAGCGTCCGACTTCAGCCAGGTCACGATCTTGCGGTCCATGAGTTCGAGCCCCGCGTCAGGCTCTGGGCTGATGGCTCAGAGCCTGGAGCCTGTTTCGGATTCTGTGTCTCCCTCTCTCTCTGCCCCTCGCCCGTTCATGCTCTGTCTCTCTCTGTCCCAAAAATAAATAAATGTTGAAAAAAAAAAATTAAATAAATAAATAAATCAAAAATAAAAAAGAGATGTCAAATCACTATGTTATACACCTGAAGCTAATGTAACATTGTGTATCAACTATACTTCAGTAAAAAATTAAAAATTGATAAAAAAAAAAAATAGAGGAGAGTGATACCTAAACAGAATGCAAGGTAGGGAAGGTTTTTTTCTTCCTTTGCAAAAAAAAAAAAGATTTAAGAATATTTAAAAGAATATTTAATAAACTCTTTAAGAAATGACCAAAGGAGATCGAAATGTCAAAAAACAAGATGAAAAAGAGGTAATTCAATAAAACATGGTCTAGGTCCTGGGGAAGAGAGGACTAAGAACATGGTAGAAAATTCTGCCTTCAGCAAGAGGAAGAGTACTTTTCATTTTGCATCTCAGGGAGGCAGACTGAAGGAGGGAGAGGGCTGGGTGATGATAGAAGGACAGAAGTTGGGAGCCTTTGGTTCTCCAGTAAAAGATCAGGCCAAGGGAGGTCTGAGGGAGAGAAGGGGGGAAGGTGAGAGGGACAGAATGGGCAGATGGAGAAGGTTTGGGGAAGGGGAGAGAGCTGGGTGGAGGGGAGGGAAGGAGGATGTGATTGCGGGCAGTCCTGGGTTACAAAAATAATCGCTACTCATCACCCAGGCCTCCGCTGCAGAATCCTAAGGGTCAGACGGCAGGCACATGAGATCAACACTTGACAGGCAGGGGCGGGTCTGCATGGGAGGTGCAGGACTGGAGAGAGAGCGCCTCTGCTCTCTTTGCACCTAAGGGGTCCACTTCCCCACAAGTGGACCTCCCACCAGGAGATGGGGAGATGGGGTGGTTAAGGGCCTCCCGGCAGGTCTGCTTCAGTGACGAGCCCTGTGGAGCCCTTTCAGAATCATGCTGCACAGATGGTTAGGGGACACAAGGAAGTGAGAACACGCTTACCAACTTCACAGGCAAAGTGTTTTACAAAGGGTTTGTCGTTGTGTGTAGTTTTCTCTCGTAAGCTGTGACTCACACAAGAGCACTGCAGAGTAAGTTTTGTAGCTCGCCGCATGTCCAGGGAAATCTAGTGCATGCTCTGAAAAGTTGCACCTGCGGACCCTGCATTTTACAGACCAAGACCTTGGGGCACCGAATGGATAGGTAAGGAAGGCCACAGAGCTAGAAAATGCTGGCAATGAGCTGATGTAAAGCCTGAGTCTTAAACCATCATCCATTTTACCTGAAATACCCACGCGCATTTTGTACGCTCTCATTCACTCAATTAGTACACACTGAACATTCTCTGCTTGAATCCGGGAACGGAGGAAAGTCCCCCGTGTCCTACGTCAGGCATTCCTTTGGGCCGTTTCCCTCACCTACTATCACTGACAAATCCTGGGAGCAGAGCTGAAAGAACCTTAGCACTCACCCAAGTGCAGATGGAGAACCCAGTATAGCCCAGCTGCATAGCACACGCAGTCTTCTGTGAGGCTGTCTTCTCAAAACTGTGACCCGGGTTCTGCTTGCAAACCTCAAAAAGTAAAATTAAACGTAAATTTATGTTCTTCTTCAAGTTACTGTTCTTTTGTTGGAAACTCTGTTAGCTAGAACAGCACTGTCTAAAAGAAATATAACGTGAGCCATCTATGTAATTTTAAGCTCTCTAGTAGCCAGGTATTTTTTAAAAATACCGATGAAATTAATTTAATACTTTAACATAGCCCAATGCATCCAAAACTTATCTTTTGTAACATGAAATTAATATGAAAATTACTGATGGGATATTTTACATTCTATTTTTCATATGAAGTCTTCAAAATCTGGTGTGTAACTTACACTGAGAGCAAATCGCAATTTAGACTAGTCCTAGTTTGAGTGCTCAATAGCCATGTGAGGCTAGTGGCTTCAGTAATGGACCTCACGGAGATAGGAAGTTAGCCACCGTAAGGCAAACTGACATCTCCAAAATCCCATTTGTCAACTCTGGTTACGCTCCATGGCATAAGAGAGCACAACTCCATCCCTTTCAGAGGCCTTAACTTCTTTAATATGACAGATATCAAGCGTAGGTCTAGAATCGAAGTCACTTGCCCAAGGGCAGCCACTGAGTTGGTGGAAAACCAGGATGAACACATTTTCAAGTGTCCCGACTCCTAATGCTATGATCTTCCCATAATGCCATGCTACTTCCTCATATGTGCCCCTCAGAGCTGCCATTTTCCCAACACCACATTTTGCATATGGTAGGTATTCTATAAATTTTCTTTTATGAGAAATTATATTATGTATAATTTCTTTATGTTTGATTTTCTGATCAAAAGCAACATGTGCCATTTTGTACAAGCAGTACCCACACAAATTACTCTTCAACTGTCTTTATGTAGTTATTCAAATAGCTCAGTGTATATACCATGTGACACATTGTGTCACATGATCAGAAAGAAAAAACGATATTTGAGATGACCTCCTAGCCTTCACCACATCTGGCAATCACAGAATTATTTTGTAATCTTAAGCTACCTGCTACGGAATATCCCATAGTCTTTTTCTGGGAATCAGAGTTACCCAGAATACATCCCTCTGGAGAGGCAAGGCAGTCTTTTCTCATTCCTACATGTCTGAACTCTCTCCCATTCCCCCACTGCTAGTGATTCTGAGACCTCGTCTTCAAGTTCCTTCAGCACCCTGAAAATTAATTTGTTTGGACCTTTAGACAAATGTTTTCCAACTTGCTTCTCCCCAATCTAAGCTCTTACGCCAGTGACCCTCAAAGTGTGGCCTATGGCCCCAGTGGGATACCGAGACCCTTTTGGAAAAACAATTAACAGTATGTATTTTCGGTGATAAAATTCAAGCTTTCAAGTAAAAATAAATATTTTAAATAACTTGTTTCTGCTACTATGAACTTGGTAGCTTCCCAGTATTTAAAGACTTTTCTGCTGAGCTCAAGATGATATTAGCATATGTGCTTTTCCCTTTTTTACATTTACAATGAAATGTGCCCACATTTGGAAGATCTATACAAATCAGTGAGCCAATATGTTCCAAATAATCCATGCATGATGTTACAAAATTATACATGGGTAAAAGACCATTCAAAGAACAAGATAAAGCAACAGGTTTGAATTAAACAGAGCACAAAAGTTCGATGAGGTTTCCCAATCCCACACTGCAACAACCTTTTTAAAAATGACAACTTGAGTTTGATGATTATCAGGTAAGAATACCTACAACTACCTGAAAAGGCTCTTAAAATACTTCTCCCTTTCTAACTACATATCTGGGTACAGAAGCTCTATTTTCTTTATATACTACAACCAAAACAACATATCACAACTGATTAAATGCAGAAGCATATGTGAAAATCCAGCTGTTTTCTATTAAGCCAAGCATTAATAGATACTTGGGGAAGAAATGTATTTTCTTTTCAAAGAAGCCATCCTCATCACCAAAGTTTTGTTTTGGAAAGCATAATTATCTTCATTAAAAAATGTTATTTATGTTAATACGTACTGAGTTTATTGTTATTTTTAATTAATATTTCTCAGGTAATAATGTCTCGGATTTAATTTCGAATAGAGGAAAATATCAGTAAGTATAAATAACCCACATAAACAAAAGCTCTTTGAGGTCCTCAAGAAATTTCAGGAGTTTAAAAGAATCCTGAGACTGTGCTCGCTTTGGCAACACATATACTAAAATTGGAACGATACAGAAAGATCAGCATGGCCCCTGCACAAGGATGACACGCAAATTCGTGAAGCGTTCCATATTTTTAATAAACCCTCTTTGCGGCCAAAATAGAAGAATCCTGAGACCAAAAAACGCGAGAACCACTGCTTTGACTACTATTCTACCCTTTGCGGCTTGAAGGCTATGCCCTTTTAAAATAACCTGAGCGGCACCTGGGTGGCTCAGTCGGTCAAGCATTCGACTCTTGGTTTCTGCTCAGGTCGTAATCTCGTGGTTCGTGGGATCAAGCCCTGCATCAGGCTCTGCGCTGACAGTGTGGAGCCTGCTTGGGATTCTCTCCCTCTCTCTTTGCCCCTCCCCTGCTCATGCTCGTTCTCTCTCACACACAAAATAAACTTTAAAAAAAAAAAAAAACGAAACATGAAATTTCTCCTTTAGTTGCTATAGGAAGTAACATATGTAACACGTGGTTAGTGGCTTAGGCTTGGCGATCAGGCTGACCTGAACTTCATTCCTGGTTCTGCCACTTACTAGTTTTTCTAGGCTAGTTTTTCTAGGTTACTGAACGTTTCTATACCTCGATTCCTCATGCATAAGATGGATATAACTGTGCTTCCTATCATATAAGAATTAAATGGCAACACTTGTTAAACTCTTAAATCCAGAATTATCACCAGCATTACAAGAATTTACGCTACCTCTTAAGAGCAATACGGTGCTAATGTAACAATGGGAGGTATTCTAAAGCCTTGAAATTCTCTTCCTTCAGCAGGAAGTCATTTTTCCAAACATAATATACCAGTTCAATCTTACTCCAAATTCACCTTAATGATTTCTCATAACAGATTCCTAAGTACTAACAGCATTTTTTTTTTGTTATAAAATTGAAAAGCATGTATTGTGCCTACAAGATAGGTCAATTTTCATACAGCATCACTGTAATAACATCTATATTTAGGGAGAGGTCCTATTACAAAAGCTGAATCAAAGAGTTAACATGAGCAGGCGAGCCAATCAATTTCCCAGGCGCTGACTCTGATGATGAGCTTGGCAATTACCTAGTGATGACACTCCTATGTTTCAAAACTGCTTTGACTGCAGGTACACAACTTAATGGAGCCGATTAGGAAGCCTTTCTTTGTCAATGCATGCATCACCTTGGACATTGTAAGTCGCAGAACATGTGTGACATGTTTTCTACATAGTAAGCCTGTGTAAGACGCTGTAGAACACTTGCATAATCATTACAGTTGGGCCTATGATAATGCGAATTCCTTACTCAACGTAATTGACAAACAGCAGGAATTTCTTCGTATGTATCTCAGGAAGCCACAAGAATGTACTCGGATTAATACCTTATTGGGGCTCCCTGTAGCTAATTACAGTCAGATACATTTTGCTTTTCAAAGCCTCATCCACCTTTAAGACTTTAAAGGCATCATTAAAGTTGGACACTTACTAATTTACTTTCAAGTTTGCTGACTCTTTCATTTCCATTTTTCTATTGCCCATCTAGTCGTTTTTAAGTTCAGATATTGTATCTTTTGCTATAGAATTTCCATGTGATTCTTTTTTACAATTTCTCTGCTGAGAACTTCTATCTTTCTGTTCAAGTGTGTTTATCTTCCATCTCATGGGCCATAATTATAACAGTTGCTTTTATGTCTGATAATTCTAACATCTGGTTTATCTCGAGGCTGGCATCTCTTGCTTGACATTTTCCTTGGAAATTGGTCACATTATCCTGGTCTTCCTACTTAAGCAATTTTGGATACTGGGCTGTGTCAACTCGGGGTCTTACTAAAATTGTCTGAGAAATATTTTGTTTGTTTAAGCAGGCAATCAACCCAGTTAGGCTCAGATTGCAAATCCTGTGTCACTTTCTACGAACAGTAGTTTTGATCTCATTTTCATTTCTTGTCGACTTTTCCAGAGTTCCTTGGGTCTGTCTTGTGCACAGCAGCTCAGGAGTGAGCCCAGGACATGTGGAAAGTCACACACACAGGGAGAGAGGGTCCGCCTTTCCAGCTCTCCCCTCTTCAGGATTTTCCCATTCCCCCCACTCCATGCTCTTTGGCCAACAGGAGAGGCTTCTCCTGGCTCTTTGGACAGTAAACCTCCACTGCTGTGCATCTCCATAAGTGGGGCTGACCCCTGGCGCAAACCTGTAAGAGAAAAGAGGAACAGAAAGAAAAAGGGAAGGGAAGCATCCTCACAGAGGCTGCTTTTCCAAGTTCTGAGTCTCCTTCACAATCCGTCTGAGTTCTTAGGTATTTGCTTTTTTGTGTGTGGTCCAGAAATGTTTAGTTGCTGTGCACAGCAGAAATGGGCTTGAGAGGAATCAGAAGGTTCCCCACCTACTTCTCCAAGTTTCGTCTTCCACGCCTCTCCATGTCCCTCTCCCTGTTCTAGCTTTTCTCTTCTTACAGCTTCCTCAACGGCCAGGTTTGTCCCCACAACAAGCCACTCTGCTTGCTTTGCCCTCTGCGTAAACTCTGTTTCCCAGTCTGAAATCTAAATGACCTGCTCTGACTCCACACCACCATAATTCCACCTAGATACCAGGCATGCGGCATATACAGATGCACCTGATAGATGGCTACATGGCCTGCTTAACGGGAACCAACTGCTTTAAACAACAGTGTATTTGAAGTTCAGTTGAAAATAGGCTACAAGTACATTCAACAGACTTAAGACCAAAACAGCGAACTTTGCTCTCATTCTGAGTCTTGATACAAACACACCTTACCATCTTACCTCCCAAGAACTTTGCAAGACTGAGTTGTTTCTCTTTCATGGCGCGAACAGCGGTTAAGTATTTCTCTTCTTTGTTCATCTTGCAGGACTTAAAACCTTGTACTCAAATTTGCTTTTCTTCTGTCAGTAATAAAGGATAGGCATGACTCCATTACGATCGGTTGTTCACGCTTTTGTTTTTGGTTTGCTTTGTGAATTTGATTTTAGTTAAGAGGTGGTATCCTAGTATGGTAAAAATTTGAACCTGGGTTCAAAGCCAGTTCCCTACTTACTAGCTGTGAGGCCTGGGCAGCTTGAACACTCTTTCAGTTTCTGTGGACAAGTTGGGATGAAACCACACACCTTGAAGGGTGGGTAAGGCATAGGAAACGTCTACTACAGTGTTGGGCACAAGAGACGGGCACCAAGTATTTTCCTACAAGTCCTCCAGAACTAAGAGTTAGCATGAGCTCCCCCCCAGGGCTCTTTTCTTCCCTTTTCCTCCCTTTCTTACCTCAGCTTCCTTTCTCTCTGCTCTGTTATTTTGGTCTCTAGGTAGGTGACTTATCACAGAACTCCTATGAATTTTAGACATGCATCTCCAGGTTTTCTGAGAGAGCTGTGTTGAACTTTCTTGAGGAAGATTCAAGTTGCTTGAGATTTTCAAGTACCTCCTCGGAGGGATTTTACCTCAGTTGATCATGTTTATAGTGGTATTTTTGTTTTAACATTGGATTTTTTTGTTGTTGTTAATGGAAACAATGGCCTCAGTCTTCTCCAAGGACAACTCAACACATGAAACGGTGTCTGCTGAGTCTGGCAAACGGGAAATTTAATTTATGCCTACTCTTTTACCAAAGACTAAGAGTTATTCCCCCTTTCAAACATTCATTTGATGTACAGTACTAATAATTCTGAGAAGCCCATGCATTATTCATATGAATTGTGATGGCTATACGCAGTAAATAAGGATTAGCTAATTAATGACTTAAAGAACACTTACAGTTCCCTTGTTGAAGATAACCATGTAAAATGTTGAGCTGCCCTGCCAATGATATCTTCATGAAAATATTGAATAAAATGAAATAGGTTGCTAATTTTCACATCCACCCGTAAAACTTATATACATTGGTCTTCCTTACAGATAAGGATTGGAAAAGTAGGAGATCTGTAATTTCAAAAACATGATTATAATTGAAAAGAGAAGCATAAACATGACTCTCATCTGTTATTTTTCCTAACTTACAGGTCACGATGTATCCCAGTATCAGTTGCTTGGACTACTTGAGCTCAGTTTTAATACATAAAAAGCATCCTCACACTTAGGGTATTTTTATAGACTATATTTTTGATAAGCTTCGTAATCTCTACAGGTCACATTTAATGGAGTATTATTAAATAGAAAAGCATAACTAAATCTTGCCCCAAGTCTCCGGTATTTCAAGTGGAGTAAAAATATGGCTAATTCGTTGCAAATTAAGTTTGAGGCTTATTTATCATTACTATTGGAATATTCTTCCAAATTCCAATGAGGTACGTTCAAGAGACATGCCCAGTAAATAATGTTTAATCTTTAGGCCAAGACCAAAGGATGTACACAAATATTTCTTCTAAACTTACATGACCATTTTTCTCATGTTGGGGAAACCTATTCAGCTATCTTAAGTTTTTTCTAAAGCAAAATAAAATGTAAAAAAAAAAAACACAAAAACAACAACTCATCAGAGTCAGAATAGAAACGAAATGCAAAATTTCCAAAGGAAAGTGTCTTTAAAATCACTTAGAATTGTATTTTAAATTAAGAAAAGAGGAAAAGCTAATAGTTTACATTTTCTTTCAAAACCTCATGCCCCAGGTGCCTGCCCGGACGGAAGAAAACCGATCAACAGCAAATACCGTAAGATGATGCTCCAATAAATAAAAAGTTGCAAGTCTCTATCTTATCAAATTAACTCAATTATACTATTTGCCCATCATCATAAATTTAAATTTTGTGGATCTTGAAATGAGGTAGGGGAAGGAACGGTTTCCTCCT